TTTTGTAAACTGTTTCTACCAAGCGTGGTGACGTAAGTCTGTTTTGGTATGAAACTTGTTTTAAGTGGTTGTTCCCCCAGACGTGGTGACTTTTGTCTGTTATGGCTTGGAACTAGGAATGGATACTTTCAGAGGTGGTGACTTTATCTGTTCTGATAAGTAGCCTTATTTTGATGAAGGAATAAGGGTGGCATATCAAGGAGATGTGTACTTGGAATAAGGGAGGCATTGTAATATGTGGATAATACTATAACTCTTATTATTGTTACTAATTGGATTTAATAAACTTTGAATCATCATTTCTTTGTGACCTGATAAATTAGAGATATTATTCCTATTAGAAACAATAATTTAGATGTTATTAAGAAGGGGAAAATGGTTTGTCATAAAGAGCAAGTATTGCCTTAAATATTTCCGTTAAATATTTACAAATGAATGGTTTAATGATTCGAAGAATCTTTGGTTACAATATTTGTTTCATATTGAGAATGTTGGATCTTTAAGCAGATGTATTTTATTATTAGAACTGAGGTTCTTGAGTTCATTCTTTTATACATATCATTGAGAACTGCATTATTTAATTATATGGCAAATATTTCTGAGCAAAGATAATTTATTATATTTTGGTGTTCATCACTCTGCATTTGCAAAGAAGGGATTTTCTCACTAGACCCTTCTGGTCTAACCCTCATTTTCTGTTTTAAAATTATGCAATGTAGGAATAACGTGGTCCAGAGATATTAAAGGGAAAGGGAAAATGTGATTATTTTCCTAATCTGTTATCTGCTTTTGAAGATCTGCTTAAGATTGCTTATTTTTGAAGATACATGTTGTATTACATGTGTTAGTACATGATTTGTTTTGGAATTTTTCATATGTAGATTTTGTACATATAGGAATCCTTGTACTAGTGGACCTTGTGATATAAACTATATTTCTATATAATGAAATATGTGTTATATGTAAATGTGGTGTTTGGGGGTGTTACACACACACACACACACACACACACACACACACATATATATATATATATATATATATCAAAGTTGTAATGAAATAAGTAGGCTCATGGATTATAAAAAAAATAAAAAGGTGTCAAGAGGACTAGTCGATCATCTCTAGGGCATGCCGTATGTTATATTATAATCAAAATTATGGTCTCCGATTTGTAGGGAGACGATAGCCGTTTCAAAGAGCGGTTTGGACTAATACTTATACGGTGAGTTATACATGCTTTTTTCTATAAGTGGTTGCACGTTTATTTTTAATTATAACCAAGCTTACTTGGGATTTTCTCAAGATTTTTGATATATCATTGTAAGTCCCAGCCGGATCTACAAGAGTTTAGAGGTGATCAGTTTGTAGAGGTGGGGATACAAACACAGTAACTTTCACTTTTAAAAATATATATATTGATAAAGAAATATCAATACAGATTTTTACAGATTGTTTGCATAATACACAAGGTAAAGAAAAACCTATCTAAAACAATCTAGAAATACATACAGATACACTTAGCAAATATAAGAGATTTGCCAAAAGAGATAAGACAGAAGTGTGTTCTTCTTGGGTATGAGTCTTAGAATTAGATGGAAATTCTAACTTGCTTGTATTGCAGCATTGCGTGAGAGAAGAAATCACTCAACTATTTATACTCATTGCATTAAATGCAATTCAGAAGAGGCAGAACACGTGTCAAGCTTTTAGAGGAAAGCTTGTCCTTTGCTACAGTGAATAGTACATTTGTCTATTCATGAGCAGACATCCTTTCATAGGGTTGGTGGACACTAGAGTCGACTAATCGGATGCGTGTAGTACGATACTCTTGAGAGGGTATGGGTTTGTCCTTTGTGTGTGGAAGGACAAGATAAAACCAATCGTACATGGCAAGCTTCATTTGATCACTGAATGTTGGAATAACGTTGGAGGTCTCTTCAGCATTCACTGAGCCTTGTGCAGTCTTCACACATATGTTGACCAGGTTGTAATCATTGAATACCGCTTCAGATCACGAAAGCACTAGTCACTAATCTTCAGTTTCAGTCTTCGACATTTGCTGAAGGTTCTTGGGTGTGAGTTTTGTCTTCTTGAAAGTATAGTTGTCGCTGTAGGATTAGAATACATGTTTCAACGATCACTGAACAGACTGAGTGATGATCACTGGAACTGATTAGATAGAAACATAATACTTTGATAGGTAAAAAGGATTATCATCAAATCAATGAGAGAGAATCAGCAATCTCCCCTATTTGATGATGACAAAGCAACATAAAAAAATTTCCTTAAGGTATAATAGTAAGGAAAAGTTACATGTAAAGTACTATTTTGGGATCTTTCTCAATGATACAATTTTTACTATATAAGTTTTCTTAAGTTACAAGTTTTAAGAAAAAGTAAAAGAAGGGAAACTGAAACTGAAAGCATGTTCATTGACTAAAGATTGTTAGTGAGTGTAAGAGCTTACTGGAACTCATAGACATGTGTCTCTATTACTCTTTTCAGGGATCTTTTTCAGTGATACTGATGAAACACTTATATTATTCAAAAGGAGAAATACAAGTGTTACAATAGTACGTTATAGACTTATTACATATAAGTTTTACACTGAAAGAAAAGACATAGAAAGATAATATTTACAATGAAAGATAAGATTTACAAGATAAAAAATTCTAACTAATCTAAGTCGCTGAAGCCGATGTAACCAGGGACTTCTTCTCCAAGCATCTTTCGATGTAGAAATTCTTTTCTGATCTTACAGTCTATCATCTCACATAAAGATCATTGTCCAACCAATATCTTAGATAATCAAAATGTTCTATAGGACATAGACGCAGCTCAGACTCTCTTTGAAAGTTGTGTTCGCCATCATAGTCATGGAATATGAATCCAAACTCAGGCTTTGGTGTACAGAGTTGAATGTGTAAGGACCTTTCGCTAGGAAAGATAGATTCAGCATAGAGATTTCTGGCTTTTTCGAATGCTTTAGGACTTCCTCTAGGGAGAACTTTGTTTCATGTTCGTTCCTCAGAGTTGGTTCATCATTAGGATCAGAAGGATTTCTTCTTCCACCTTTCTTCAACGTTGGCTTTGTAGGTATAACAAAAAATTTGGACATCTTCTTGATCAGCTCGTTGAGAATGTCTTCAATTATAAGATTGTGCCTTGACTTTGAGCACTGAATGGCCTGGCGTATTTCCAGCCGTTCGCCGTAGCCGTATTGTCCAAGGTGGGAAGGGTACTCAATGACAGAGTCAAGGTTGTCTCTGATGATGTGCATGGAGATGATCATTCCACCATCTCTCTTACGACCACTGATTGTGACGTTAGTGATGCGACGGGGATTAATTCTTTTATTAATTCGATCTTCACTCCATTTCTTGTCTCGGTCATTTAGCTTCATTACTTTTTGACGTTCAGATTCTGCAATTGAGAGCAATTTAGCTTGGGCCTTGACAGCATTCACCATCTTTTTAGACATTTTCTCTGGAAAAACTTGAGAAGCAAGAAACTTGGCCAGCTTGAGGTTGTCCTCAGTCTATTTTCGTTGAATTTGGAGTTCTTCCTCAGCCTTGACTACTTCGAGTCTTTTAGCTTCTGTAAGGAAGTCGAACTCACCACAACTTGAGGTACGAAGAGACATTTTTACTCCAGTTTGGTCGAGTGACTCCTTAAGTTGAGTAATCTGTTGGTCATTAGGAACACCAAAAGTTGGGTTTTCAGATACCCATTCATCTAGATGACCACAAGTAGTAAAAGGAATAGAGGAAGAGAATTGATAGAGAGAAGTAACGACAACAAACTTGGAGGGTTCAGCATATCCTTAAGGATTGATAGGCTTGAAGAGAACTTTCAAGTTTCCTTCTTCAGCAACACCTTTGTCTTTGGAGAAGGTGTTCTGGTTCTTTGCAGATGTTTCCTTCTCTTTCTCCTTCTCCTTCTCTTCTTGGGATGAAGATTCCTTGAGAGAGACGCCTTTCAAAGTGGTAGCTGGTTTAGTGTGGTATTGAATAGTGAATTCGTCTTCATCATCATCATCATCATCATCATCATCACCAAGATCTTTTCCAGCATCAGGAAAGAAAAGAGGATCATCAGCTTCATCGTCATCATCATCTTCATTTTCCTTATCACCAGCATCCGCTGCAGAGGTGATAGAAAGGTCTTCATCATGAGCATCAGCTCTGATGGCATCATCAATTTCCTCAGCTTCAGCTTCATGGGAAGTGATGGCATCTACAACTTTAGCAGCAGCTTCATTTGCTTCAGCTCTTTCAACTTGAGCATTAACGTCAGCTGGTGTTGTAGGGACAACAGCAGCAGCAAAGTCTTTCTCCCCCTCTTTGTCATAAGCAAGACGAGAGGTAAGGTCATCAATACTTTTAGCAGCTATCTCCATTTGTTGTTCAAGCTCGACCAGAGATTAAGCTTCAAGAAGACCAAGTTCGAGCACTTGATCCAGCGATAGGCGATCCTCAGTTGTGAAGGAGGGTGCATGAACTGGCACTGGACGTTGAAAAAGATCCAGTATCTTCTACATCATCTCACCATGCCTAAGCTTCATGGACTTTGCTATTGTGAGTTGAGATGGCCTCAGCGTTGGTGCAGACATCGGCTTGCACCACAGATAGCAGTTCTTCACGTCATTGACTTTAGCTTTGACAGCTGAGAAGTCAGAAGAAAGGACATCCCTGAGAGGCATGTCTTTATGGACTTGGTATATTTTGCTCAAGACAATCTCTACTACTGGGAGAATCAACTTGACATCATCAGCCATGTATTCCTTTTCCAGGATGGCGATCCTTCATATCAAGGACCTAAAAAAGAAGAAGTTTGAGCATAAGATATCTCGGGGTTAGAAGAAATAAAGGGGTAGGTTGGTAGAGTACATGAGGAGTCATCAGCACCATCTGAAAGATTGATGCCGGTTCTGTCCAGGTTGCCTTCGAGAGGGTAGGCTTCCGTTGACTAAGGTATCTCGAGAGGAGCGACCTCAGGTCCTATGGTGATTGTTTCATCAACAGCGAGGACAATCCCTGATGAATCACCAGCATGTGTCGAGACCAAAGAAGGAGGAGAAGAGAAGATGGCTGAGAATGGTGGAAGTGGGTGTTTAACAGTGGCTATGCTGATATTCACACCTTCAGTGATTTGGGTCATTAAGACGATTTGGAGAGGATCCACATGTACGAAAATGATTGAAGAAATCATTGAAGAGCTAAGAGGGGTTATAACAGAAGTTGCCTCAGGGGTAAGGCTTGTTTCAATTACTGGAACCTTTTGAGAGGTAACAGCTAGGGATGTGGGTATCCCCTTTTTGGCTTTCTTGGTCCTCGATGGGAACCAGGAGTGGTTTGAGAGGAGGATCTTTTAGACGAGAGGGTGGTGGTGGTTGGGTAGACTGAGGGGGGTTTGCCTCAATCTTGACCCCCGGAGCAAGGGAAGAAAGACATACTGGCACATTGGAGAAGATGAACATACTGGCATAGTTGGAGAAGATAAAGAACATGCAGGCACAGTTACAGAAGATGAAAAAGTACTGCAATGTGTGTTGTGCGAGGTGTCCAGGAGAGAGGAAAGGACAACATCTTCAAATTTAGACTTATGATCCAAGATTTCGGATCCAAGCCTACAGATAGCCAGGTTGCCTTTTGTGGAGTATTTGTTGCTAAAGATCTTAGCAAACACCATACACAAAAATCTGGTGTAAGGCACCACCTTTTCCCTTTAACGCTTGTTCAACTTTAGCACCAGGTCTTGAAAGATAATGCCAACAAAGTTGATTGGCCTCTGGCGAATGATAGAAACGCCAATGTTCAATGAAACTCTGGAGGTTTGGTCTTGTCCACCAGTTTTGCCTCCCATACATTGAATGAAATGGGAAAACAAATATTGCCATTCCGCTGACATGCGGTTCTTCTCAAATTTTGAGAGCGATTTGAGGGGATCACTGGAGTCCTTCTTTGTTGGCCTTGCATAGACAATATCATCTAAGTAGAAGATTATCTCCTCAATGGAAATTTCACTGGCATAAGGACACTTTGGTAGCTGGAGTGCGGTCCTTAGTATGCTACACGAAAACTGATTGTCATCCTGTTAAAGGTGAAGGAGATTTTCTCCACCGGTTTACCACTCTTGTCAATTTCTTGTTTGACTTCAGCAGTAAGCCAAAACCGCTGAAGGACTTCTTTCACCATGACAGGTTCATGGGAGATAACAAAGATAATTGGGGAGTTCTTGAGGAATCTAGCAGCGTTCTCATAGTGTGGTTTATTGGCAGGAATGTGTAGAACCACCACATGGTTGTTGGTCTTGAAATACATTTTGTCAATTGTGAAGTATACATTCTTGGCAGACATTTCTGTAATATATAAGAGAAAACAGAAGATGACAGGTTTGTTAGAAATCCAAGATAAAAATGTAAACTCTATGTTTTGAATCGATAACACTTCTTTTGAAAAATCCACAATAAGATTTAGGGGTTTTCAAGAAAAATAAGTGTATAGAAACTTTAGATTATAACCAAGTAAAAGAATGTTTTAATAATCTGTATGTTAGTTATTTAAGAGAACAAGTTCTTAAATAACATAACAAAAGTTTTTTAGAAGAAGAACATATCAAATAAGAAGAAAAGAGTTATCAACCTATGATTTTTAGAAGAAGAAGGTTGATAGTTTTGAGAGTTCTTGCTTGCAAAAGTCTTAGAGGCAGAGGTTCGACAATAGTTTTTTTGTAAGCGTAGGGTAAAATAAGAGAAAATGTCTCATATTTATAGGTAGGAGGAGAGAGAAATGGAAAGAGGCGAGAGGAAAATACAACTTAAAAGTTGTGCAATTACGAAAAAATTAACACGTCCTCATCCATGATTGGATGGAATTACAAGGGGTCGCGTGTGTCAGAACGGTACGCGTGTCTTAAAAAATCGTATCATTTAAAACAAAATGACGTCAAAAGACGTTTCATTTTCCATTTCCTCTTAAACAAAAAGTTTAAGATTTTCAAAAATATATACTGAAGGATATGTATTTGAGAGTAAATCTTTTTAAAGATAAGTATAAAAAAGTTCAGTGATAAGAAGAGTCACTGAAAAAAAATTTAACTTTTAAAACGTTGATCACTAATTGAGAAACAGTTCAGTGATGGTTTTTGTTTTAAGAAAAGGTTAAATATATCTTAGAGAGATATACTTGCTTAAAGAGTTCAGTGATAGAAGGAACACTAAAACAATCTTTTAAAACATTTTGATCACGGAGTATGGAAAGATTCAATGATAGTTTTAAGTTTTGAAAAAAAGATAAGTGTACATACCTTAGAGAAGGAAGATATATTTACTCAGGAGTTCAGTGATAGAATAAGAACACTGAATCATTTCACTTACTGAGTAATGCTTATAGTTGAAGGAAATTATTCCTCAGCGTTCAACATTCCAAGTTCGCTGATCAATATGTTAAATCTTGTCTCTCAAGAGGCTTTGTAAAAAGGTCAGCGAGTTGGTACTCAGTTAGAATAAAGTGAAGTTCAATATTATCATTTATAACATGATCTCTGATTAAATGATACTTGATCTCAATATGTTCGGTCTTGGAGTGAAGAACAGGATTGTTTGCAATAGCAATAGCACTAACGTTATCGCAATAGATAGGGATCTTGAAAAGTTGTAGATCATAGTCGTTGAGCTGGTTTTTCATCCAAAGAACTTGGGCACAGCAGCTTCCAGCGACAATATATTCAGCTTCAGCAGTTGATGTGGACACATAATTTTGCTTTTTACTTGTCCAGCTTACCAACTTTCCACCTAGAAGCTGACAGCGTCCAGTGGTGCTTTTTATATCAATTTTGCATCCTGTAAAATCCCTATCCGAATAACTTATTAGATCAAAACCTGAACCCTTGGGATACCAAAGACCCAAGTTAGGAGTTCCCTTCAGATATCTGAATATGCGTTTTACAACAATCAGATGAGATTCCTTTGGTTTATATTGGTATCGTGCACATAGATAGGTAGAGTACATGATATATGGATGACTTGTTGTGAGATACAGTAGAGAGTCGATCATTTCTATATAAACAGTAGCGTTTACAGGATTTCCGTTTGGATCCTTGTTCAGTGAGAAAGGAGGAGCCATCGGAGTCTTCATAGATGAGCTGTTGGATAGATCAAACTTTTTCAGCATATCGCTGACATACTTACTTTGGTTGATAAAGATACCTTTATTTGATTTTTTGATCTGGAGACCTAGAAATTGTTCCCCCATCATACTCATCTGATATTCTTTCTTCATGCGATCAGCGAACCATAAACACAAAGAGGGATTAGTGGAACCAAAAATAATATCATCAACATAAATTTGGACTAGAATGATGTGACCTTTAAATTTACTAAGAAATAAGGCATGGTCAATCTTTCCACAGACAAATTTCTCAGAGATAAGAAATGAGGAGAGGGTATCATACCAGGCACGAGGGGTCTGTTTTAACCCGTAAAGAGCTTTATCCAATCGATAGACATGATTTGGATATTTAGGGTCAAGAAACCCTAGAGGTTGTTCAACGTAAACTTCCTCTTGGAGTTTTCCATTAAAGAAATCACTCTTTACATCCATTTGAAACACTTTAAGGTCTCTAACGGCAACAAAGGCTAGAAAGAGTCGAATAGCTTCGAGTCTAGCCACTGGTGTGAAGCTTTCGTCATAATCAATTCCTTCTTCTTATTTATAACTCTAAACAACAAGGCGATCCTTGTATGGGTTACAACACCTTGTTCATCTAACTTATTGTGATAAACCCATTTGGTCCTATCACAGTTTTGTCAGATGGACATAGGACAAGTACCAAACTTTGTTCCTATCAAACTCAATGAGTTTCTCTTGCATGGGAATGACCTAACTAGGGTCTGAGATAGCCTCATTGATTTTCTTGGGTTCAACTAGAGAAAGAAAATTGACAAAGAAAAAGAAATTACCTAGACCACGGCGTGTCTGAATACCTTCACTTGGATCACAAATAATATGATGAATTGAATGGTCTTTTGTCCATCACTGAGCTGGCAGAGGATTGTCATCTGAACATTGATATTTTGGTAGAGAAGATGAGGCTTCAGCTACAGATTCTTCAGCAATAGGTTGAATTGCTAAAGGAGCCTCAGATAGAGATTCAGCGACTGATAGAGGTTTAGAGAGCAGCCTCGATGATTGTTCGATTTCTTCTTTCAGCGATTCCATTTTGTTGTAAAGTTCTCACAGAAGAGAATTTGGAAGAGATTCCCTTGTCCTCAAAGAAGCTATCCATAGTACTGTTTTTGAATTCAGTTCCATGGTCACTTCTGATAGATCGTACCTTAATGTTGTTAAGTAATTCTATGAGTTTGATGAAAGAAATAATTTCTTTAAGTGCTTCACT